GGTGAATCTAACCGGAGTCCGTACAAATCCCAGATGGACTATCAGCGCCACATACATTTTGAGATCCTGAATCTTGTAAACGACAAATAGATTTGACTGACTGATGACAGTATCGTATTCTACTAAGTGCATGTAAAGCATATTTAAAGGGGCAAGGTTTGCATCTTACATCTTATATATAAATCATTAAAAGGAACTCGGCTGGGGTCTGCCCGGACCCCAAGGGAGCGTTTGAGGGTTAATATCTGTTAAGTTCAGATTGATCCAGGTCGATCGTTCCGGCCACCAGATACTGTAGGAAACGGCAGGAAAGATGCGGGAAAATCGTCGTGTTCTGCAGGAAAACAACGAAAATCACCGAAGCATGGAAGCAGTATTTCGGCCAGAAAATTTCCGGATTTTTTTCCATATGATTTCGGGCCGATTCCTACCGAAAAGAACAGGAATTGGCTGGAATCCACTGGAAAAAAGTTCGGAAAATTTCCAGCCGGAATATTGCTTCCATGTTTCCTGGATTTTCGGCGTTTTTCTGCGGAAATCGGCCTGTACTTCTCGACCTGGGAAAATATCGCCCAAACTTAGTTTGTTCTAGCCGAATATCGGATCCGATTTAAGACCTAATGGGAGTCGAATCCAGCAGGAAGTTTACATTAGGAACTTAAATAAGTGTTCAGATCAGAACCGAATTCGAATTGTATCAGTGGATGACAACAAATCAAAAATCCTAGCCGTCTGATATGTTCAAAGAAGTGTCAACAGCGATCTTGACATCAAACTTAAGTTTCTAATGTTATAAAGTTCTTGCTCAATCAGACAACGATCATTTCCAAAAATGCGAATTCGAGCTTTGCCTACCTGTCCCCCCACAGAATAGAAGTCCAGGGGTGCCTCTGTTCAGCAAGCTATAACTTTGTAACAAAGCATGCCCCGATGCCAGGTTTTGCGTTATTTGATAGAGAAATATTCATTCTTTCATTTTTCATCGGTTTTAGTTCATTTTTCATAAAGTGAATCTCGGTTTTCAACGGAGAATTCTAACCCAGGGGGTCGGCTTCTATTGTGTGGGAGAAGGGGAGAGGGGTATTGAAAATGAGATATTTACATGCACATAACATTTGCATGTGATATTCTGACGCGAGAAGGAACTGGTTTTTTTGTTACTCAAGGTTACAAACAAAACTATGCGTATCTTCTAGTGAACCGAAGAAACGACTATCAACATGTCAATCTTTTACAAGCTCATCTTGTTATCGACAAGTCACTCTTCATAGCCTACGAGAAATTACACCATCGCGCTCAAAAATATAATCTCAAACTTGATATTTCCCGAGTGGTCTTTGTCGGTGATACTTCTTCGGGCAAATCGATGTATGTTTCTTAATGAAAAGCTTCTTTTTCTCGTAAACAACAAAGTTCTTTCTTCCACACAGGCTTGTACAAAATGTTCTTCTATTTTCATGTGCCTTTTCAAATAATGACGTAAGCACTCGATGCCCAGTCTCATATGAATTATTTCAGAAAGATGTCATTATTTGTTCGTGTAACCCTAACGAATGCTCGCATTTAATCTTGGTATTTCTGAACTGTTCCTTACAAATTTTGATATGATCCGAGCCTTGCCGATGGTCAAATTCATTTCAATAAACCGAAAGGCATGATCGCTGACAAGCTCGGTACTCACCTCAAAGATGTAATGGAACGAATCGCAAGTGAATGCAGAGAAAACGATGGTTTCAGACGTGAACCGTATGAAATTGATATTTCAAGCAATCAGTGGACAGATTTTGAAATTCTCGATGTTCCGGGTCTTGTCAGCGATGAAGAAGACAGTCAACATCGTCAAATGATCGAAACACAAACTGAATTTTATGTTCGTGACCCACAATTTATGATTGTTCATGTCAAACCGGCTGATTTGATTGGTGAAAATGCAACAAGTACGGTGCATCTTTGTGCACTCTTTACCGAAGTATCAGCTCCCTGTGGCACGAACTATCTGCTCCGTCATAATTATAAAGATTATACGATCACCATTCAGACAAAATTCGACAAATTCATGAATGACAACAAGAATGGACGAAGTGCCAATGCAGGAATTGAAGAACTCATTCAAAAATACGAACCAACGTATTTTGTCAGTATGATCTTCGATGGGTAAGTTAAATTGCAACATCGAATATCTCGAAAATCAAGTATCTTCGATATCTTTTTATCTAACAGGCTGATATTTTTTCCCACTGATAAAGGAGTGTTCAGAGACACACTCATACTCGGAGTCGTGAAAGCATCGGCTGCTGCACTGCATGCAAAAGCTTTCAGCGCAATCGTTCCGGGATTAAAATGTGAAACACGATGAAGTCACTTTAAGCCTAATGGAGGGACCTCGTTATATCTATCATAGTTGGTTCCAGACTACTTAGGGCGTACCAAAAGTTCGTAGCCCGATGTTACTTAACCATAGAGTAACCTTTAAGAAACCTTCTTTCTATACAGTCTAATAGAGAAACGAATGCTCTATTTTTCTATGCTATTTGATCATACTTCAGCTAATAACGTGATAATAAATTTTGGATAAGACTTTTTTATTATCATTTGTGCTCGTAGTACTGGATTACAACGGATGAATCAGGTTAGTTTTCAATCCCTCAATACATTGTATTAACGAACTAAAATATACTATAAGATGCAGCGTGAAAGCTCTACAATTTACATAAGATCACTTACTGTATAGTTGCACTTTTCGTTATCAAAATGAACAAAGTTTTGAGGGGTCAAATTTTGAGCATTGCAAAAATTGGTCGCAAATAATTTTGCTTCTTTTGAAAACAATTACAATAAGCTTTACTATGAAGACTGTAGAGCTTTTCGCGCTACATCTTGTGGTGTATTTCGTTTTCTTTTGATAAAGCTTTTCAAATGACGAGACGATGTAGTAACAAAAAATGAATTCGCCGTGTATCAAAAAACATTATCAATTTTGCATGGTTGAAATTCGATCACTCACAATTTTGTCCATTTTGAAAACGAAAAGTGCAACTATAAAGTAAACGGTCTTGGGTAAATTTTAGAGCTTTTCACGCTGCATCTTATAGTATATTTTAGTTCTTTAATACAATGTATTAAGAGATTGGATACTGTAATGCGAAAATTACTAGAGGACAAATGATAATGAAAAAAGTCTTATCGAAAATTTATTTTCACGATATTAGCTGAGGTATGATCAAATAGCATAGAAAAATAGAGCATTCTTTTCTCTATTAGATTGCATAGAAAGAAAGTTTCTTAAAGGTTACTCTATGGTTAAGTAACATCGGGCTACGAACTTTTGGTACGCTCTAAGTATGACTCAAACGTCAGAAATTCCTCCTACTGTCACAAACATGTCTGTCACGATCTGTGAGGCGGAATGGAAGAGTTCCCTTTTCTCGCTCTAAACTTCAACACTCATTTGCAATCATCTTTCACAAAATAATGCGTTTCTTCTGAAATGACAGGAGTTCGAGTGGGTTGGGTTTTGTGGGATTCGAAAAGTGTCTAGAGCTCTGTACAATCAATCTGAAAGTTACCCTTTTCGCAAGAAAGGTTTGCTTTTTTTACAGAGACGTGTTGAGCGAGATTCGTGAATTAATTTAAATTCATTGCAAGAATTCCACAGCTTTCGAATAAAGTGTATTCATAATAAAAAGCATTATCTCTGATAAAAATAATTTCCAAAAACTGTGGGCAACAAGATGTGAGTGTGGGTGGGTGTGGGGTGTGGATGTGGGTAGGGTATGGGTGTGGGTGGGGTGTGAATATGGATGTGGGTAAGCTATCGGTGTGGGTGTAGGTGGGTGGGTGTGGGTGGATGTGGGTATGGGTGTGAGTGTGGTGTGGGTGTGGGTGTAGGTGGGTGGGTGTGGGTGGATGTGGGTATGGGTGTGAGTGTGGTGTGGGTGTGGGTGTAGATGGGTATGAGTGTGGGGTGTGGGTGTAGGATGGGGAAAGCAGGTATATCCACATCTACACCCCACACTCACCCACACCCATACCCCACACCCATACCCCATACCTACAGGTACACCCATACCCCACACCCATACCCCATACCTACAGGTACACCCACACGCACAGCCACAGCCATAGTGACACCGACACCGACAC